CTGAAAGGGGTGGGAGCCATAAGAAAGGCTAGCACGGTTCAAACAGTCCCAAGAGCCTACGGCCACCTGTTGAAATCCCCCCCAACACACATAAGGAAAAGGCAACAGGCATAAAAAATACCTGCCAGGAATTTAAAGCTTCCGGACATCAGCACAGGGTAAGTTTTGCCCACGTCTGCCAGGCAGCAAAAAGGTGGTGCCCGAAGCCAAGAAGAAGCCTTCAAAAGAACTTTTGATGGCAGTAGATGCTTACAATGCCTGGTTTCTTTCCCCCAAGCTGGCAGACCTCTGTTTTCCCCCGCAGTCTGTGGACTCTCCACGTTCCAAGCCTACGCTTTCATGCTTTGCATACAAAGATGCAGCCGTTTCCCAAACAGCCCGTGCTGGAAAGCACAGCCTTTCACCTCCCCTACTGGGTTTTCTGCTCGTTAATCAACGCAGCTTAATGGAGCTGTTCGCTCAAACAGAATGAAACTGGTACCCTCATTATGGAGAAGTATGCCAGGGAAGCAAAACAATTTTAACAACAAAAATACCAACTCAGGAGGCAGCCAAGTTTACCAATCGAGGAAGTCCCTGTGGACCTTCCCGCCAGGTTTTTTTTTGGGGGGGGGCATTTAGAAGAGGTGAAGAACATGGATTTCAGTGCCTGCTGGGGTTAGAAAACAGAATGGAAAAGCAAGGCTTTCTCAACCAGAGAAAAGCTCCTGAACTGGGAAGGCATTCTTGGCTAGACCAGGGCTGAATCGAGCAAAATCCAGCTAGATTTGGGGGAAGCACAGCAGCTCAGGGGTGGTGAACACATTCTGCACCCAGAAAGCTCCAGGTTCCATCTCTGTCCTTTCTAGGTGAAAAAATTAACCAGCCCTTGATGAAAAAGGCTTTTGCTATACAAAGACAGAGAGAGAGATTGAGACCTGAAGGCACCTGCAGTCAAATTTAGAAACATGTCACTTACATGCACGTCTGGGTTCCACAAAAAGTCGTACACTCTTTCCTTAGCGGGGGGGGGGGGGTGGGGAGAAGAGGAACTAAAAAAAATGGGCAAATAAAAGTTCTTGCTTAAGCCCTGAAAACACCATGGAGTCCCAGGCCAAACAAGGACATGCCTCCAGTATATACCCAGGAGAGAAGAGGAACTAAAAAACATGGGCAAATAAACGTTCTTGCTTAAGCACTGAAAGCACCATGGAGTCCCAGGCCAAACAAGGACATGCCTCCAGTATATACCCAGCCATAAGGAGTCCATGCACTCAGAACCAAAGCATGCCACAGAATTACTGGATGCTAGTAAAACCACAATTGTAGGTAACTCAAGCAAGCAAGTCCAGCTATATCCCACGGAGGAAAAAAGAATCCTTTAGAAGATTTGCCCTTAGAAGAGCAAATAAAGGCAACTACCAATGAAAGTCATGTTACTTCTTTTCAGCCTTCCATTTTTTTACTCTTCCAAAGAACTCAGGCAGTGTACGTAAAGGTAAGTATGCTGCCAAACTATTATTTGTGCTGGCAAGATTCCCCACTTTTTCCCTTAAGCAAGAGAACAGGAAGAAACTCATCCACCTCCAATTGACTGGGCTACGCTTCTCTCGCTGTTTCTGGGACTTTTTGAACTCAGCAAGACGTGAACTTCTCTCCACGGTGCAGAAGGACCGCAGATCCGCCGCAGATCCCAGGAAGCAACAAGGCAGGTTTTCTGGATATCTCCAAAAGACACAGCTGTTATGCTTTCTATACCACTGCCCAACATATGGAGTTTTTTTAAAGAGTCCCCCCCCCCCCCCGCAATCATTCCCTGCCTTGAGGAGTTTACAATCTCAAATTCAGTGGGAGGGAAGAAAACTAGGGAAAATGACAGAGGTCAACAGGAAAACCATGTTCGGTTTTGCAAGCCAAGATACAACATTGCACCAGAAGTAGACCATGGTGGCGATGGAAAGATTTGGAGGAGGAATGAGACTTTATCCTTACAACCTGGAGTTAGGGAGAAGGTCTTCTTGCAGCCGAGACCCTGCCCTCATTTGGGAAGATCCATTCCTAGCACCAGTTCTAACTGGTTTGCTAGAACAAGGAGCCATCTGGTCAGTTGACTTTATTCTCCCATCCCTGGAGGGTTGAGCAAGGATTTAATCCTCGAAGTCCCTAATTTGTCTGTTAAATTAGGATAGATGCTCCAAGAACAGTACATTCCCACTGCAACCAGTTGAAAGGGGAGCAGGATTGTAGCCAGCTGAAAGGGGAGCAGGACACTTTTGATTGTCCTAAGCAAAATGCTTGCCCTGAAATTCAAAGGGACCTTTAAAAGGGAGAGGAGGGCCATGCAGCCTTTCTAACTGCTGCAGTTCCCAGCCACCCCAAACCAATAAGAGCAGGCGTGCCTATTGCAAGATGTTGCATTCCAATATTTCCAATTCCATCTCAAAGTGGATCGAGTGACCGTGCTGTTTTGGCTGGCTCTTAGGAAAATCATTCTGGAACGCAACCTTTGAACAAGGTCTGGTTGGAGAGAAGCTAAGGCAGGCACAGGCCTGGCTGACACATAAGGCTAAGCCATAATGTGAGGCTCTTGGTTTGTGTTTGGCCTCGCACGATGCCTGGACCCAGCAACTGTGATCAGTAATTGCTTATGGCTTAGCCATATGTAGTTTTAAAAAATCTGAGCATAGTGCCAACACTGAACAGCAAGAAAGAAGGGGGGAACACACAGACAGAGAGAGAGAGAGAGAATGGGATTAAAAAGCTAGTGATGAGCTACTAACATTGGAATGGATGGGCACACAGATTTATCTTTCACTGTGAATTTGAAATCTAAGCATTTACTGGATGCTAAAAAGCAAAGATGTCAGGGTCATTCTGAAAGATAGATACCAATATCCAGGGGAACATCTTGATCTCTTTCCCAAGACTTTATTTGAAAGCTTAGTCATCTGCAGAAAATGAAAGCTTCTGCGTGCTCATATTTACCCCAAAAGAAGATGGGCCCAAATTTAAGGCCATTCCTTCCTCCTCCAAGGAAGATTAGTCAGGAAAAAAAACCAAACTCATCGGCCTCTATGACTACATTATGAATTAAACTAAAGACAACCTTCTCATGTTCAAGATAAATTATCGGGGGGAGGAGAGGAAAGTAACCCTCCTTTCAGACAGACGCAACTATCAAAAGCATTGTTTTCTCCTGAAAAATTCAGCTCCTCTAAACCACAGTGCAAAGGGAGTCATCGGGAAATCTTGCCGGAGGCTTGTCAATATTACTCGCACTCCCTCACCTGGAATAATTCAAATCTTCCCCCTCAACCCCCCCCTTCAAAGCAATCCAAGAGCTCCCCCAGGAAAACTGGAACCCCCCCCCACTTTTTTGCCAAATCGTCTGTCCTTGAACTGGGCATGCCAGTGCCGAGCTAAAAGAGGCAAGCCGTCTGTCATCCCCGCCCTCTAAATAACAAGCTGCTGGTCAGCCACCACAATGCCCAAATACGCACGTCCATCCCGAGACACAGGCATACAAGAACACAGACACACCAGACTCTCAGCAGTCACCTACCCCACTGAACCACCAGTAGGAGTGTAAGGATGGAGAATACGGTATACTGTTTCAAGCCCCTGAAACAACCGTCAAGAACAGCTTTTTAAATAATAATAATAATAATAATAATAATAATAATAATAATAATAATAAACCAACCCACATTTGCAACACACCTCTTGCCCTGAATGCTAAGTGTCTCTCTGTCTCTCCACAAGGTACCTTCTGCAACGGACCCCAAGGATCATCTTTGCCACTCGAGGTTCCCGCACACAATGATTCCTTTCTCAGTTGCCCTTGAACACCTAGGAAACCAGGCAGGAGTGCAAGCTACCCTCCCCCCTTTTGCATCCCATTCCCTGTGGTTTCAGTATCCAAACCAGAGGTGTTAAAAGCATTTTACTCTTAAAATAAAGAGTCCAGAAATCTCTGCCTGAACTGCCTCGTTGCCCTGTTTGCAGCTGAACAGCCCTTTTAAAGTCTATTGGCAGAAATGCCCAAGAGCCAAGTGTAAGGCAGTTGAAACAGCCTCTGTTGCACCACCCTAGCATAGAAGGATGGGCTCCTAGCAGCCTTTGGGCATCAGCTGGCCTTCAGGCCCCAAGATAACGGCCTGCTTTTTCACTAGGCCAGGGGGCAAAAGTAGGGGGTTAGGGTTAGGGTTAGGGTTAGGGTTAGGGCCCCACAATCCAAATCTCTCACTCGGCTTCTCAGCTGAAATTATCCAGAAGCCAGCCATGCCCGAGCTGCAAGCAGTGTTAGAAATACCTAGCAGGGAACAGAAAAGCAGCGCGTAAAGTGAGTAAATATTTTGTTTCAAGCCTGATACACAGGGAGGGGGTTGTAGCTCTCCACTTAACCCCAGAAAGTTCTCCAGTTTTGCAAGTGTTCTTAACCCCCCCAGGATGGAATTAGCACTAGCAACAAGCATCACAGCTAAATCTTCTTGGCAAGACCAGGCCAGTCCCATAAATGGATTAAATCTCAAATTGCCCACAGCAGCCGCACACGTCCACTGCAATTCCCATCATCATGAGCTCTACTTTTGTTTGCAAACTTCCCGGCAGATCCCCCCTCTCCTGAAAGAGCCCCCCTTTGTGGGTGGCCCTCCAGTTCCCTCCCTGGTCTCCAGGAGAGAAGAAAGCACCCCAAGGCCAAAGCATCTTGCTGACCAACTGGGCATTTGCCAAGGAAAGGGAGCAGGCATCAGAGCAGCAATTCCAGCTGGCAAGGGGATGGCGGCTGCAATTCCAGGGCCTGCTTGAGAAGGAAGAAAGACAGGCCACATGTTGCTGGCAGCAGGCTGGCATCTCGCCCTCTCTGGAGAGAAGGCAGCCCAGCGGCAGCCGTGCTAAGCAGGTGACTTGCAATTAAACAAACCACGGCTCTCTCGAACCGGGAGGATGAAAGCATTATCTGCACACTAGGCACTTCTGTCTTTCCTCACTCAGCCGACTGTTCAGGCTGACAGTCACACCTGGAGAAAGAACTTGTCTCGACTGGCATTTTCCCCGGGCTCTGCACTTCCCTCCTGCTCGGCTCCGGCTGGCAGCGAATGGGATCCTTCAGCCAGCGGGGCACCGACTCCGCTGCCCGGTGAGCGTCGGGAGGGAGCCGGGGGAGAGCAAGCCAGGGCGCCTCCCGCAGCGGAGCGACCGGCCAGGCGATGGGCAAAAGGGGCGCGCAGCAAGCTCGGCGGGTGAGCGGCGGACACGTGTCTCGGCG